ATAATAACCAATGAAAGTATACGATAAAATCAAATGTGTTCTAAAAATTGAGTAACCACTATAATAATATTATATATTTATATTATAGTTTCGATGTGTGTTATTAAATTAAGTAACAAAACAAATAGTTTATTCAAACAATTGAGTCTTGAAATAAAAAAGTTTTATTTTCCTTAATATGGCTATTTTTGGTCCACACATGATCTTAATTAAATTAGTGGAATTGAGTAAAATGTATTAATTTACAGTTATATTTTTCAATAATAATTTCATTAAGATAAATTTAAACAAAACTTTCTATGATTATAACAGCGCGGCGTTCTAGATAGGCTATTTAGCTACTTATTTGTTGTGGGTTCACTAAACCGGTATCTAATAGTAATTTGGAATTTATTATTTTTAATGTCCTATAAAATAATAATACATTAATACTATAGATGAAAAAATTGTAATTAATGATAAACTATGCAATATATTATCATTACAAAAAATAATATTTGTAAAGTGTATACAACTACTAATAACTGTGATAGGTATAACTTCATGCAATCATACAATGGCCCTATAATTTAATATCAGTACTTTGAAAAAAAAATTGTATTAGCTCCGACCAAAAGTTAGCCGATCTATACTTTGGTACCTATGTTGAAACGTGTGAAAATATTGTATTGATAGTTCATATTCGATTTTGTAATAGGAGGCTATATTATTTTGTAACCTAATTTGCGTAACGTGTCCGGTGTAAATTATAATCATTGTGTGACGGACAACCTGAATGTAACGCTGACATTTGTGTCAATCGAGATTAAAACTTTCAAATCATTTATGTCTTTCGATAAACTTATAACACGAGAAACTGACTTATTTATTAAATATAATTAGGTATGTATTACGATTTCAAATGGATAATGTATTTGCAAAAAAAAAAACAAACAAAAAATAGAAAAAATGAACTTTTCCAGTATGTCAAAATTTGTACATAAACTTATACATTCTCTAATAATGAATGATAATTTTTAGTTTCTGAAAAAAAAAAGATTATTTGCCGATACAAATCCAAAGGAAAGTCGAGTGGCTTGCAAAAAAAAATTCGTTTAGTAAATGCGCCATAAAAGTATTATATTTGAAAATGTACTTGAAATGATGAGATGTATAAATGATCGAGTGCGAACAGTACAGACAAAGTCCTTTCCGACGGATCTCTAGAACAATAATAAATTGTATTCGCGGACGCGTGTATAAATAATAAACGTCAGAACAGTGTAAAACTGTAAAACGAATAACCTAGGAGGTGTACTCTATACATATATATATTACTTAATCGCGTATAATATTATAGTGATTATACCGATAAATTATCCTACGAGACGAGAAATTGAAGCGAGACTGAATTTATAGTCCGTTAAATTTAATTAAAAACCGTTGTACGCGAATGTGGAAAATTCGCGTCGTTTTACGCGCGCGCATATTATTATTATTATTAGTATTATTATTATGCAACCGAACAACAATGACAACAATTGACAAATGACCGGATTGTCGAACTCGGAGTACTCGCGTCTTCAAAAACTAATTTCAATAAACGGCAACGAGCAGTGCTGTTCGAGGTGATTAATTAATATTATTATTATACTGCTATGAGCATGCTCTACATGAGGTGGCCGGACCGAAGGACGGACGGTTTCACATGTGGCGTTTCCGGTCTCTCCTCAAAACGTCAACCAAATCACACAAGGGACGATTGTACGTTGTGGTTCGATGTGATAATAATTAAAATGTTGGAATATTACGACGAGGTGTTGTACGCTATAATAACTATATTTTCGCCGCTGCGTATATGATCGTGCTCGAGGAGCTTGAATATGAAAACAAAAATAACGAAAAAAGTAATAGTAATAGTCGTGATTACTGTAGTAGAGTCTCACAGCATTTGTAGGATGATTATATTTTTAAATTAATTGATGATCGTCGTATCAAAATTATTTTGCATAATATGCACACATTATCATATAAAACGTTATGTTAATATCGTCTTAAACATAGTAAAATATGAATATAAATAGTATAATAGTACACGTATGAATAATTTCCACGAATAACGAAACTAGGAGATAGCTATTTGTTGTTGGGATTTAAATTCTATTTATAAATACGAATAAAATGTACGCTGTAAGCTGATGAACAAGACATTTAAAATATATTTCACATATAACTTATTTCACCTATAATTGTAAAATATTTTAAATACATTTAACGAAAAATGTTTTTGATAGGACAACCAATAAATATTATTTAAATGTAGTCATTCGCTATACAAATGCTCTGCGAGATGTAGAAAATGTGAATGTGCTACGAAGGGTGGTGTTTGTGGTGACTATATTATGATTCGCCTAAGCTGCAGCATACTGCGATACTATAATGCGCCGTTATTGGATTCGACTGAGGTTTTTTTCATTTACAATTATTATTATTTTCGTCGTCGTCGTCGTCGTCGTCGTCGTAATAAAATCGAGTGTCGTTGGAAATTTTCGTTCGGAGTCGCAATATTGCAGTGTATTATTATAATATGCTATATCAGCTCACCGGATTATTTAAAACTGCGGAAGCCATTAACGATTCAAAAGTCATCGTCAAACGCGCTCCCCGTTACGAAAGTTTTCTCATATATGCGCGCGGGCGGTCGGTTGGGTATTTTTTCCACCCCCCTCCCACCGAGAGGCAATACGGTCGGCGTCGGAAAAACCGGGATGCCAAACTTTTATTGAGTGATAAAAAAAAAATAAAAGGAGGAGGAATTATTATTATTTTTTGTTGTATATTATTTATCGTCTCGTAGTCTCTACGATATTATAATATCGTATTCTCTGCCCCCCACCCTCAGCCCCCCCCCACTACACGATCAACCGAAAATGTGGCCGACGAGACGCCGTTCAATTTAATCGCTGCGGCACCTTTATTCGCACCACGTATTATTGTCGCGCGGCTGTCCCTCGTTACAGTATTTATATTAAGGTGTATCACACGTCTATATAATGTTATTATATTATCCTATCTGAAGCCACCCGAAGAAGGGCTGTTTTTTACACTTTGCTGCGGTGGTGGGGTGGCACACCACGATAAAAAATATTTAAAAACCCAGCTCCTCCCGCAAGCAGACGCCAACGAAATTACCTTTCACACCACTACGGCATCTATCCGTCGTCCGGTATATATTTCCGACTGTATAAATATAAAACACTCTAATATTCATAAACGGTGTACTATTATTTCCGAATGAAAACATTTAATGTTTTCTTATATGGAAAATAACGCCTCGTAATAATTATTAAGAAAAACAAATTGAACACCGAAACCATAACTGATGTTGTTTACTTACCGCATGATGCTGAAACGGAGATAATAAAAGTATTGAGTGATTGGTAACTTTCATACAATTTTGCATAGTACCAGACGTCCATGCGCAATAATAACGAATTGTTTTATAATAATATTATTGTTCTGTATTCGTAGCCCAACAGAGACAAAGTAACAATTCGGCCAAACCATTTAAAATTAAATTCTCGTTAAACATTAACAGCGACTTGCGTATTATACATATTTATATTATAATAATAAATGTATTAAGATTATATAGGTACGCACTATAATAGTAAAATATCAGGTGCATAATAATAATCCCAGACCTCATTCTCCGAACTTGCAGCCTTAACCGCCGAGTTCCATAAAACTTGTTTTTACATTTTCTTTGAAAAGTTTCTCTTAAAAGAAAAACGCTCGGATACTGAGAAATTTTGTCGTAAACGCACGTAAACATACAATAATATATTCTTTTAAATAAATAAATACATACATACCACCGATATCTTTTTTTTCTCGGAAGATTATCCGTTTATAAACAACATTTCTCTGTACACCGATATTATAGCCCGTACTTCACGGTTCGTCTATAATTAGATGGGTTTTCCGCGAATCTCTCTGGTAGGGGGCAGAACGAGGATTCGTCTAAATATGATTGGAAATTAGGATTTACGACATTGCTTGTGTCTATTTCCGACAAACTAAAATATCATGTAATTGGTTAGCAGTGCTAACTTAGCACGAGCAAATCGTTAAAATAGAAGTCTCGTGTTTAAAATAATATTATTCCATAGATGTTTGATTCTGAGCGGAAAATAAAAAAAATAAATGTGTATTGATTTTGCAATTTTTTTTCTGTGTATTCATATACACAATATTTTTGGTATAACAAATTCTTTAATCTTGAACTTAACAGGAAGTTTCCAATAGATCATAGATTTGATTTCAAAATTAAAAATTCCCAATATTTTTAAAAATAATCAGGAATAAAACAAAAAAAAAATAAGGAAAATAGTATTTTTTGCACTCAACCGGTTTTAGACAAATTTAATTTTCTTATTTCGTTATGCAAAAAAATTATCCATCGTTTTAACAAATGGTTATATTTTGAAGAATTTAGGAAAACTCTTGTACATAATACTCCTACATATATCATGTTATGTACCTATAGTAAATGGTCACTATGATTTTTTAATGCCAATAAATTGTGTTTAGTGTTTAAAACAGGTAATTTTAATTGATAATTTATAAATTTTTTCGTTAACAATAATCTCCTTATCTAATATTAAAACGAATTAAATAAGGTCAATGTGCGCTAATGTCACGATATCGATTTTCTTTTAATCACAATTTATTATTAATTAAAATAATAAACATTTAATTAATTTGATTCTGATCCAACCCTACCAAAACCACTGAACTACAACAAAAGAGTATAGGCTTAGGCCCCTAATAAATAATCAGTATTAGGTATTCTACCGAGAGTATAATATATTATTACTGAGGGCGGATAATAAAGCTGATGTTAGTCGTATTTTGTGTACCCTACATGAGAAGGGCAATCGAAAGTACAACGCTATGTATATTATTACTATTTATTATTTAAGAGCAAAACAATATAATATTATACCTCCATAGCCACCTACAATTTAATGTATTGTTTAGTAATAAAAAATAATTATTATACATTTATAATAATATACCTGTTACTTGGTCATCGCTCATCACTCTTCGTACCAATAGATCAGCTAGGATATTACAACAATATATTATAATATTCTATGGACTCCATTTTTTGAGCACCACAACTATAGTCGACTTTCAACTTCCAAGTACTGTTGGTTCTGTAAATATCGATAATATACAAATAATATAGAGTCACACTATGTCTTATTGTCTCAATAAGACACTGCAACGTCTTAGTTCTTAAAAAGTTATATAATAATTAATAGTTACGGGTGGATCTGTGCTAATGCCTATCCAATTATAGAACAATGAATAAAGTGGATTTTTGGTCAGACGAGTTTTTTTGAAATACGATATAGCATCGATAAAACACTTTAACAATTTTTGGTTTTATAGCTTTGACTCTGTATCTTTGTATCAATAATACCTTGTTTTTTTTTCGTATTTTATTCGATTAAAAAAACAGAAACTATTTTTTATTTTTGTCGTTCCTCATAATTGCAATGTTATACTATCTGTTTCTGTATCGGCTATACCTATAACAAATATTTTTTATACAAATTTTGTAATCATATAAATGTTAAAAATGTAGGTATTATGAAATATAAAAGTTAAGTACAACTTGATATATAAATAAATTATTTTTTACGAGTTTCCAAATTATTATTATTTTGAAACAATAAGTGGTCGAATGCATGCAAAAACATGTCGTTTTAATTATACTTAGTGAATTTTACTTCTAGGACTCGTTTAAGGAAGCTTGGCTTCACCTTCGCTATCTTAATCAATTTATTTATACTAATGTATTTCCAACTCGCTTTGAACAGCTTTGTGTATTGAATAAGCCACGGCTACGGTACAGGTTCTATAACTTAAAAATAAAATAACTTTTGTGCGACAACTTACATAATTAAATGATAATAAACTATTTTTGACACAGTCTCATAATTAATAATTATGTACTAACCTAATTGGATTTTTCTATAATATATAACACGGGACTATGGGAGGTGGCTGTTATTCTTAGTAATTTGCTATGTAAAAAAACATTGATACTTCGACATTTCTACTTACTAGTGAATGTAATAAGTAGGCAATACGATTTATTAGTATATGTATTTAGAAATTGTGGGACATTTGCTGTTCAACAAGCAATATTTTTCTCCCAGAAAATGTTCTGTAGTATAGTTCTTCTAGTATAAATTAGTATTTATTAAGTTTTAAATTAAAAAAAATCTTAAATAACTGTTGGCATTCTAATACATTACAATTTACAACACTATAAAGAACTATAACACTTAAATAATAAATTTTGAACTGGTCGATATCGATGTTGTACGAGTACTGAGCTTAAGTTCTACAGACTATATGCAATAGCCGATAAGCTGTCGACCCAAAAGGTACCTGTAGATCGATAATCTATACGTTTAAGGTCGTTTCACACTAATGGTACGGTCACGGTTATTATTGCGGGTTTTCACATTTCTTATTAAGTAAATAAACATTTATTTTTATTTTTATAGCATAACAGACATAAAAATTCCACAGTTAGAAAAACTGTACAAAGCAATAAAAAGCAAAAAAAGTATTTACACAAAACAAAAGCCAAAAAAGCCAAAATAAATTCAATTATTTGGAATCAGGTTGACATGAAACGAATTTATGTAAAATAATTAGATTTTTATCTTAAATATATAAAAAGAAGCATTTCCTTTAAAATCTGAGCCCTAATAATTATCATAATACGATTTTTCAAACAATATTTTAAAAAGTACCTACATTCTGTATAATATTATATTAATTACATTATTATACGTGATAATAAATATTATCATTAAAAACAATGACCAATACATAAGCCAAATAATAAATATTTTGCCATGTCAAACTCTGTTAATTCACACGTTCGAACCGAAAAATAATCTTTCTTCGCTACCTATATCAAGATTGTCGCATTTTAAACCTGCCTATATACATATAAGTGAGTAACAAAAACCATGTTGTTTTACTGACCCCGTTTTTTTTAAATGTCAAACATTATTTTCAGGTAAAATAAAAGTGGACACAAATTACCTCTTATACTTTATTGCGTAATAATATATCAACCTTATCTTTATGCAAATACGTTGCATGAGCAATCTAATTTTATGGCAAACAAATTATTACTTTTATATCGACACACATGTGTTATTAAAATGTAATAAACTTCTGGAGTGTGCAATACGGCTATATCATATACATTGTATTATATGAATAATATTTAAATAATCGATAGTATTATTCGCTCAAATAGTAGACTATATAATTACACCATTATTTGACGTGTCTTGAAACCCTAAAAAATTGGTGAGTAAGAAAAAAGTTACATTTCATACAGAATGCGTAAATATTTAGTTTTTAAAATGGATCACAATTTCAATGAAAAAACTGGAGGTGCCGAAACCCCTATATTTTTTTCATATTATGTTATTGTTGTGCATACTTGCATAATGACTATCAAAATATAAATTAACATGAACAAAATTGGGGGTGTTAAGCATACCCATCTCCTCCCCCCCCAAATTTCACTTATAGCCGTTAAATCAAAACTAACTGTCACCTATCGGATGTATTATATTATGTATAGGGTTTTTGGACAGCAAAAGTCTGTATATGTCACTGTAAAATGATACTCACTCGTTTATATACATACAAAACAAATAGGTAAATGTGTATTAAAATTTAAAAAAACTCTTCAGTTCAATTTTTTTCTTATAACCTCGATAGCCCGAAAACCTCAGTTAGTAAGTCAGTTAGTAAGTTAGTAAGTCGAAACCTCAAAATTTAATTTCCTTTGAATTTTGTCTTACCGAAATTCAATTGTAATTTAAATAATAAATATTTACCGACTATACCTATCACTTACATACACAGTAGCATCATTATGGGAAGGGTTCGAAAAACACATTAAAAATGGTCTTTCTGATTACATCATCATGAATGATTATTTCATATATTTTATGACATAGATAGTAATAACTAGTTAAATGGTCATATTTTGATAAATTTATATTATATTCTGTCTCTGCAGGATAAAATTCTTTATTCACTACCTCTTAAAACGACTTCATACCCGGATATTATGCCCCCATATAACTAACGCAAAACAGCAAATTGTGCGTTCAGAACAATCTAATTTACGTTGTTTTTTTTTAATATAAAATTATTTTTAAATATAATCGATGTAAGGGTAACAACATTATTTAGGAACCAAATACTTTTTTACCTTATCAAAACTTGCTTTAAAATTAAAATTAAATTAAATATTATATTTCTTTAAATTTGATGTACGTCAATTTACTAAAATATTGAAAATAACAGAATAAATGGAGTTATTCTGAATTTACAATTTGCTATGTCATGCTTTAGTTGAGCCTTATTAATTATACCTTTAGGCAATGTATATATTGTGCTATGAAGTTGTTGAGTTTATGGCTTCAGTTTTTGCAACCTCCCACCCAAATACAAAATATGTCCTAGAGACGTCCCTGCACGTAAGTATGCATTATGCACACAAGATGTACACTCGGCGGTCATATTGGCAAACCTAATCCATATATTATAATATACATAATATACTATTATTATTATCATAATAGGATTGTTGGGAAAGTATAATAAGGGGACAAGGAGAAATGTACGACTGGTGTAGAGAGACGGTTTTCTATAATATACCGGACAAACAAAACAACGCCAATGTAGTGTTGTATGTGTGTGTATGTGTGTGTGTGTGTGTGTGTGTGTGTGTGTGTGTGTGTGTGTGTGTGTGTGTGTGTGNGTGTGTGTGTGTGTGTGTGTGTGTGTGTGTGTGTGTGTGTGTGTGTGTGTGTGTGTGTGTGTGTGTGTGTGTGTGTGTGTGTGTGTGTGTATATTTTCATGGGAAAGCTTTTTATAGTTTGCGGGGGATTGGGTTCATTTCCGTTTATACGTATGGTAAATAACAAAACAATAGTTTTGCATCTCGCACGCGAACGTATTTGTGTTTTGTTTTTTTTTTTATTTCGTTATTGTTTTTCGTCATTGTGACTGCCGTTGTTTTTTGGGTGTGTGTATACGATATCATAAAATCGGACACGATATAACGATATAAGGTACAATAATATGTTTATCAACTGCACAGCGTCAACCTACTAAGTACATAATATTGTCTTGACATTAAAGTATATACATTTAATTATTGAGTAAGAGCTCAATATTAAGGACGTATAGGAAACTTTCAGAAACGTTCAACATTTCAAAATGGATGCCTAACATGAAAAATTGCAAACCTTCAATATAGGATCCATAACCAAATTGAAAATATAAGTATATTATTTAAAATATTTAATAATATTTATTTAAAGTTTGGGTATTTTAGAAAAGTGTATATTTTTTTCCTGACATTTGGAATTTTTCCATAATATATTACCATCACCTGTACCTACGCGGAATGAAGGTATATATAAGGTACCCGACATACTTACATCTACGATATATCTATGCGAATTTATTATGAGTGACGACAAAGTAGAAATACATTTTTATTTTTATTATAAATCCTTTGTCAAAAATGACTATTTTTTAAGTACGCGTTAGTCTGTACATATCTATTAATGTCGACAATATAATACACTTATATTTATAATAGGCTTCATCAGACAGCAGTATTAAGGACGTATAGTCACTATATTTTAGCCATGATATTTACGTGTTCACGTATGCACAATAATAGAGTATAACGCACACAGCCAATCACAACTATTATTCTAAATCCAATTCAATGTAGCAGTTGAGAAAGCTGTTGAAGCAGCCGAGATATATTTTTAGGGATAATTATTTATCCAGATTGGTGATTTATCATCAAAAATGACAGTATAAATTAATAATTTTTTCGTGTTGTATAGCTGGTACGAATTATTGGATAGGCGATAACAATTAATTATTATTTGACAATAAAAAAAAAAAAAAATGCATTTTAGAAAATCACATCGTTATAAGTATTAAATTCGTTTATCAATATTATATTAACATAATACTATTTTAATAATATCAGAGTGTTTTTCCTAAATTTTCATAGCATTCAAACAATAATCGTAATACCTGTGCCCTAGCACCTAGGTACCTGAATCCAGGTTTCCTGTCCAATGTCCTGTACTTAGGTATAATATAGAAGCATAAACGTGTGTATTATAATGTGTATTATTATTATGAACTCTGAGGGTAAATTATTTTCTTGATATTATTTTTATAACTATGTGCGCAGTATTAAAAAACAGTTTGCTAGAATTTTTATAAACTAATTTAGGTACCTTTTTTTTTGTAAGAAAATTATAATTTATGCTTTTACGGAAGTACGCGTACAGAACTCTCCTTTTAGTGCAGTGTTTGCTTTGAGCACGCGCCGTGCATATATGATAAATTTAAAAAGGGATAATTATATTTTTTTTTACACACAGAAAACCATGAATAATTCTCTAAAGGAATTTCGGATAAGACCTCACACAATGGTAATATGTAAATTTCAGACGTTCGAGTGAAATAATTTACGCACACTGCGCCGTTCGTGTATTATATATATATATATATGTATATATTTAGAACAACGAATGGTTTCGTTTTATGAAGCACCATCCACGTGTACCACCCGTATTATATATTATAGCGGATGTATTCGTAAAACGGGAATAATAATAATAATAATAATAATAATATAATAGTGCAATATACTATATAATAATATACTATATTTATATGTGTGCGCTACGACAACGTGAAGTTGTTTTATTTCTCGCCGACTACTATTATGATAATAAAATAATAATATAATATATGTATAGAGGGTACTCACGCCGAGTGCCAATAAATCGGTTCGGTGTTATTGTCGAGTATTGATCCGAATTAAATCTCCCTTTATCCTCCCCCCGCCCCACCGCCATTACCATGTCACATTAAAGACTACAATCAACGGGCATGGGGAAAGAAAGACCCTTAATCAACAAACCCTCATTGTTGTCGGATGCCTTCGGAGAGCTTTTCAAAGATCAATAATATATGCAAATGTCCCTTTACGCCCTGCCGTCGTCCCGTCCACCTCCGCCGCCACCTCTGCCACCTCCGCCACCGCCACCGCCGTCGTCCCGCACTCCCCCGGGCCCATCGCGCCGTTCGGCAGAAAAGGATTGAGGTTATGTTCAAATATTAATAACCATATACGGAACCGGGGTGGGAGAGCCTGACGC